TGAGACGAACATCCGAAACTGCCTGAACAACAGAAGGGGACAACAGGAGAATATCATCGAGGTAGCATAAAAGTCTAACAGAACGGACACGAAGAGATGCCGCTAAAACGGCCAGCACCTTCGTAAAAGTACGGGGGGCCGAGGAGAGACCAAAAGGCAACGCCCTATACTGATAATGGACCCCCCCGTAACAAAAACGCAAAAAACGCCTATGGGAAGGAAGGATAGGGATGTGCAAATAAGCCTCCGTAAGATCTATGGAAGAGAGGAGATCGCCCCTCCGAACACCGGCTAGAATAGTTTGTAATGACTGCATTTTAAATTTCCGGTACACCACGTACCTATTTAAGCGTTTCAGGTCCAAAATGGGGCGCCACCCTCCCGAAGATTTGGGAACCAGGAAAACCCGGGAATAGAAACCCTGACGCTCCTGGCCCACAGGGACGAGTTGAATAGCTCTAATGGTCAGGAGATGCTGAATTGCTGCGTCCATAAGGGACTTTTTCTCCGAATTACGAGAAATCGTGCAACAGACAAAGGAGTCAGGGGGGGTGGAGACAAATTCGATAGCTAGACCAGAGCGAAGAGTGGCTAGGACCCACTGATCAGAGGTGGACCGTTCCCAGGCGGCCAAGAAGATGGCCAATCTGCCGCCAATGGGAGGATCAGCAGTGAAATTAGCGCCGGCGACGGATGAAACGACCTCCTCCCCCTCGAAAGGGCCGTTTAGACCCGAACGATCTGCCCCGGAATCCCCTATCTAGTGAGCCCCGATGCCTGCCAAAATTTGTATAAGGCCGGGGCGAAGGGAAGGAGGAAGAAGAGGGACCACCAACATCATTACCTCGAAGGTGGGGTCGAGGGGGATACGGGGAGAAGCGAGAATCCCCCCGTCGGAAAGCTGCCGCCAAAACTTTTCGTTTGTCCCTGGTTTCGGTCAAAAAGGGGTCTAAAGCCTCCCCAAACAAACGGGACCCCCCAAACGGGACCGAGGCGAGCTTCCACTTATGCCTGGCGTCCGCCTGCCAATGTCGGAGCCAGGTCAAACGGCGAGCTGTAACAGCAGAGGCCAGCGATTTGGCAGCAAAACGAGCAGCACTGAGTGTCGAGTCCGCTGAAAACTGAACCGCAGCTACAATCTTATTGATGTCATGCTTAATATGAGCATCCTCCGGTGACAATTTCTCTTGTAACTGACGGAGCCACAACAAAGTGGAGCGGTTAAAAAAGGATGCGGTAGAGGCCGCCTTAATGGCCCAGGCCGCCCCTAGGTGCGCCCTTTGGAGGACCATATCTGCACGGCGTTCATCAGGTCGTAAGTTCTCAGCAGGATCGCCCGGAACAGTGGCAGAAGACAGAAGAGCGGCGATGGGAGCATCTATTGATGGAAGCTGCAGAAGAGTGTCCAGTTCAGATGCGACATGGAAATTCGTACGGTCAGACGAAGAAGGGATAGGGGCTGATCCCGGCGAAGCCCACTGTCGTTTCACGACATCCAGGAAAAGGGGAGGTGTGGGGATGGTTGTAACCGGTTTGGCCGGCTCAGCGAACATCGGGTCTAACGTCCCGGATGACACAGAAACAGAAGGTTGTGAGGCAGGGGAGGAAAGTCGAGCCGTATTGACGGCTTTGAACAGAAGAGACCTAAACAAGGCCTGCGGAAAGAGGGCAGTAGTCGCCGGCTGATCAGGTGGAAGGTTCTCGTCTTCCGACAACCCAGAGTCACTAGTGTCCGCATCCGACAGGGAGGAGAGATGACTAGCTTGGGAGCAAGAAGGAGAGTGAGGCGCTCTAGAGGGTGCATTACCCGAAGAACGAGGCTGCTCCGGCGAGGCCGATCGAACAGAGCCAGTGACACTGGAGGGACGAAGACCCGCTGCCAAAGTCTTTTGCACTGCAGCCTCAATCATCCTTTGCAGTTGGTCGGCAGGAAGAGGACAACTCACCGCCTCCTGAGGCAGGACTGGAGCCAAGGGAACCTCAGAGGAGTTTAGAGGAGGTGGAATCTCAGGAACATCCTCATCCGGGGCCGGGGCAGCGACAAGGTCCGCAGGAGCAGGACCCCACAAATTTGAAGCGGAGATAGAGACCGGGCAGTCCCTGAGAGACAACTGGTCAGGAGTCACCGGTTGAGAACTCTGCAGCGGAGCAGAAGCCGTTGAAGCCTGAAGGTCAGAGCTTGCTTTGGCACAAATTTGAGTGAGGACTCTGTCCCTCCGCTTTTCCACTTTATCCAGCGCGCTTGTATGCTTTCTGCTCTTGTGATGGGCGAGAGAAGGCGGGGCAACAAGTGACTGCGCGGGATCTTGAAACGAGGCAGATCCATCCTCTGACTGCCTCTGAGAAGCAGAACTGTGCTTACGACCATGTTTGGACTTGGACAATGACTTCGGCATAATGACAGATCTCAAGCCAAAAGCAGCAGTCACCAGATGAGGGCCAGGTGGGGAGCGCGGCAACTCCACTAATCTCAAGGCCTGTGCACACAATCCAGAGGGCAAATGGCAGGGGAGCGCAGCCACTCCACAAAATGGTCGCTGCACGCAGGCAGGCAGCAATGGAGGCTGGCAGGGACAGCGGGGGTACAACAAGTCCAACAGCCAAAGAAAGGGGGGGCGCGAAGCTCCACAAACCCCCGCACAGCCAGCCCAGTCAAGTGCAGTTCAGACAGTTGCCCTTCAATTTGCCCACAGCTTCCAGAAAGAAAACAGCAGCTCAATCACTGTCGCTGGGATGGAGGGGGGGGGGCGCAAAGCCCCACTCTCAAAGCTCCAAAAGGCCAAACAAACAGGAAGCCGCCCAGGCGCTGCAGCAGGGAGCGCGCAATCACCAGAAGCCTTCAGCCTCGGCTCAGCAGTCAATAGTTTGTCAGCGCTGCGGAATCTCCACTAATTAGCCCAGCTGGTAGTCGGAACGGCGAAAATAGCGCTTGCGACAACGAGGGACTTGCACAGAAGAGAAGCAGCCAGGGACAACGCAGGCAGCAAATCCAGCTCCCAGAGAGAGGTAAAGAGCAGTTCAAAGCCCCAAGCAGCAGAAAAAAAGTCTCTTTAAAAGTTTAGAGACTGTGTATTTGAAACGAAGGGCAACAAAATGGCCGCCGCCACAAAAACGGCGCGAAAAATGGCCGAGATAACAAAAAAGGAGACCCTGGGAGAAGCGCTCAGCAAGGAAGGGGGCTGCCAAGCCTGACAGGGACACCCAGGAAGCCCCCCAGGGGTCCCCAAAGGGGCAATTCAAAACGGCCTCACACCAGAATAAAAACAGCCCTTAAGGGAAAACACAGGGAAAAAACTCACAAAGTCCAAATGCAACCAAGTCCATAGGGAGAAGCAGAAGAAATGTCAGAAACAGTCCAGATCCAAAAAACACCAATAAATCCAAAAAGGGCAAATAGTTTGAAGAAAACAGTCAGAGCTAGATACCCACACGCCAGTCCAACTGAAGGACTGAGCCAAAGCTGGGTCTGCCCGGCAACAAGGGCGGGACTTAAAGTTGTTGGCTGACTCAGTCCTTCAATCTGATTGGATGAGTAGTACCCACACTGGCTGCTGTCTCCACTCTCAATGGAGAAGGCTACTCTTTCTGGAGTGTTTTACTTTGGATCCTACACTGAAAAAAGAATTGCACTTGATGTTCTAAATACAGTAGCCACTCCAAATCTGTTATACTGGACTTTCTGCTTTTGTGGTTCAGCTTAACTCAAATATCCAAATCTCTCCAGGTGGAATCATCAGATTTTATTTGGAAACACATTCCTAATGAGATTTAACTATTCTGACTTTTCTGACTTTTAATCTATTCTTTTTAAAAACTGGAAGCCAGTAAACATTTGAGGTTCACAAAGCCTTTGATATTGCCAGTTCCAGGGTGGATTTGATTTAAATCGAGTTGATTTAAATCACAATTTAAATCATGGTTTAAATCACTAGTAAAAAGGCTTGATTTAAATCAACTCGATTTAAATAATAATTTTTAAAGAGCAACTGTCATCTCTGCTACTCCTTTGACCTACTGTTGAGTCACCGATAGTCCCAGTGTTGCAGAATATACAGCCTCATGCTACATAACTAAGCTCCATTTCATGCTGAATAAACTAAATTATTTATGTATCTTAAATAGAAAACTATCTTACGATAGATTTTTACCCCAAAAGTTTTTTATTAAAATAAATTCGATAAAAATCAAAAAAATCCGATTTAAATAAAATCCGATTTAAATAAAAAAATCTATTTTTTTTTGATTTTTTAAAAAAAATCATTGATTTTTATCCACCCTGGCCAGTTCCCAAGCCAGGACTGGAAACAATCCTGTGCTCAGTTCCAAAATTTTTAAGTATCCTGGATAGATCATTATTATAGTATTAGTTGAAAAACAACCTACCCTCAATACCGTACTATCTAGACAGTATAATCCTTCTTTAGATTATTACTTTTTAAATAGAAGAGAAACTTCAATTAGACAAAATAGGGCAGCAAGACAATTGTCTGGGATTGGATGATATGATCGTATGATGGCAGATTGTTTCATGACCTGATTTAATGCAGTGGGATTGACTTTAAAAGCCATAAATGACTTGAGACTAAATTACCTGAATGAGCATAAAATACACAGATATATGGTTGCTATGATATATTCTTTGGTGCCAGGTAATTTTAACATTAACTCTGGTATTTATGTTTATTTTAAAAGATTTGTATGGCTACCCATCTTAAAACAACTCTGGGAGGCTTACAACAATAAAACTATAAAAACCATACACCCCCCCCCCTTTAAAAAACCAACTCCTCAATTAACTTTTCAGGGTGCCCTAACATTTATCTGCAGACTCTACTACTTTTATCACACTGCCTAGTGAAAAGCCAGGTTTTAACCCTCCAGAAGGCTAAGAGGTGAGGCCTACCAGATTGCTTTGTAAATCCCTTTCTTCCCTCAGCCTCTCTTTCGTACTTTGGATTCTTATTTATCAAATAGTAATGTTTTCACTTTTTTTATTGCAGGTTCGCATGAAGTCCATGTTTGCCATTGGTTTCTGTTTCACTGCTCTGATGGGAATGTTTAATTCCATGTAGGTGATTATTGGTACTGTTTTTACTTAAAATTACTTTAAAAATGAGGGACTCTTGGTACTTTCTGAGCTTAGTTGCTTTCTTGCAGACATTTCATTAGTTAACATCAGTGCTAATAGGAAGTTGGATTTGCTTTCATTTTATATTCTAGTGGCTTGCCCTGTCAGTGTTGGTGGGGTTGGTCTTGGAAGTTTTGGTCTTTTTGTTCCCCTTTTGGCTTGATTATATCTTTTGCACAGTATATACATATCATTAATGTCTATATGTCTATTGATGGCCAACAGCAAGAATCCTTGCTGTTGTTGACTGAGGTTTGATTTTTTGCCTTGATGTTGGTGGACTTCCAACTGCCAGGAACTTGCATGAAGCGTCTGCAGGCGTGTGAGTTTGAGCCTGCTCTTGGATTGTAGGTGTGCCCTGTGGGCAGAAACTTTGGAGAATGGACTGGGAATTGCTGGATTGTGAGGATTTTGCGGGATGGTGGTTGAATAAAGGCTGACAAGCTTTCGCCTAGCATATGTTGCTTGTGCGCCAACCCTGGGTCATAACACGATACGCAGCTGTACATCTCCACTCCAGACCACCCCAACGATGCCCTTGATGTGATGTCCCGCTGCCTGGAGGCCGTGCGGGCCTGGATGGGGAGGAACAGGCTCAGACTCAACCCCTCCAAGACCGAGTGGCTGTGGCTTCCGGCGCCCCGATATAGTCAGCAGGTGCCATCGCTGACTATTGGGGGTGAATCTTTGCCCCCCACAGAGAGGGCTCGCAATCTGGGTGTCCTCCTGGACGCACGGCTGTCTTTAGAAGAGCACATGACGGCCGTGGCCAGGGGGGCCTTTTATCAGGTTCGCCTGATTCGCCAGTTGCAGCCCTTTCTGGATCGGGACGCCTTGCGCACGGTCACTCATGCCCTTGTCACCTCCCGGTTGGACTACTGTAATGCTCTCTACATGGGGCTCCCCTTGAAGAGCATTCGGAGGCTCCAACTGGTCCAGAATGCGGCCGCACGGGTGGTTATGGGTGCAACTCGTTGCGCCCACGTGACACCCCTCCTGCGCGAGCTGCACTGGCTCCCAGTGGTCTTCCGGGTGCGATTCAAGGTGTTGGTTACCACCTTTAAAGCGCTCCATGGCATAGGACCCGGGTACCTTCGAGACCGACTTCTGCCACCAATAGCCTCCCACCGACCAGTCCGCTCCCACAGAGAGGGTCTCCTCAGGGTGCCATCGGCCAAGTTATGTCGGCTGGCGACACCCAGGGGGAGGGCCTTCTCTGTGGGAGCCCCAGCCCTGTGGAATGAACTGCCCCCGGAAATACGTAAGATCTCCGACCTCCGGGTGTTTCGCTGTGCTCTTAAGACCCTGTTGTTCCGCCAGGCCGGGCTATTAACATAACGTTTTAAATTGGGGTATTTTAAATTTCTGGGATTTTAATTGGAGCCTAATTATTTAATGATTTTAAATTTTAATTGTTGTTTTGTTTCTGTGTTTTTAAATAGGCTGTACACCGCCCTGAGTCCTTCGGGAGAAGGGCGGTATAGAAATAGAAATAATAAATAAATAAATAAATAAATAAACAAAATGTCTCCAACTGAGGTGCACCCATTGCACTGCATAGGCTTCATTTTCCCAGACTGCCCACCTGTGCTTGGCTTCGGAGATTTTTCTAGAGGTGTAGGCACGTAGTTGTCAGGCATGCCTCCTTTCAGATTTCAGGAAAGAATGACCCCGACTCCATTTTCATAGATAAAGGTACTTTTACTAAAATTGAACTGAATGCAGCCAAGGAAAGAAAGATCTGAGGCAGTAGGCGTGAAAATCACATATAGAAAGCATCCCCTCCCAACTGTCCAGCGTAAATCATCCAATCCAAAGGTCCTCCAGAGGTCAGGTGGAATCACACGTCTGTCAGTGTCATCAAACTGGAATGTCAGGACCATTGACTCGATAGCAGCTTCAAAGGCACAGGACTGCAGCTAAGATTTGCTTTCGTTTCTCATTTCCTCCCATCCTCCAGCACGCTTCCCACTCTAACAACTTCCTAACTCCCCCCTCCCCCCGTTACCATGGCAGCCGACAAGCAAGCATTGAAAGAGCGGAGGCTGATATTCGGGCCCCCTTCAAAAAAGACATTATTCCTGGAAAAGATAAAAGGGAGATCAATATACAATATGTACATAGAGTAAAGATTAGGGTTTATCAGGATATTTGGTATGAAACATTTGTACTTTCTTCGGCGCTCGAACATCCTTTTTACTTACCCATTCAGCCTTTGACAATGGGAAATGTTTCCAGGCCACCAAATACCACGATGCTTCCTGGAATCCAAGATTTCCTTGACCTCAAAGTGCTGTTCTCCTAGACTTCCTGTGGCTCCGCGATCGCTGATGGACGCTCCTTAAGGAGCTCCAGCCCCGTGATTCCGCTTGCCGCTAGAACAGCAAAAATCAGCTGTCTAGTAGCTCGAAACTCTCCCCCAGGGAAAAAGGGAGAGAGAAGAGCAGAAGGGTCTGGGTAGAGCTCCCCTAGACCCCCAGGTTTTTCTTTTTAAGCCTGGGGTTTGCAGGGTGAGAGCTCCCTGAAAGCCCTTCAGTTGCTCCGGATCCGGGATGAGTCTGCTTTATGCAGACCGAGGCGTCGCGACCATACCAGCAACACAATTTTAAGGATTATAAGAAATTTGGACTTTGGATACTGGCAGAGCAAATCAGGAGAACAAAAAACGTAAGTACTGATCTTTAACTCCGTTTAAAAAAGAAAAAATGGCGCCTGAGGGCGTGAAATCGAAACTTACTAGTGAAAGTGATTGTTAACGCTTGTAACATTGTTAAAGCTACTGGATTACACATCAAGAAAAAGATTTAAAGTGGAAGCGGGATGGAAAATACTATGGTATTGACTTCACCTAATTTACATTTCTAAATTGTGCGGAAAATAGCTGGACTTATTGACCTGATAGCTGAATAAATATAAAATGAAGATTGAAATATGGCTGACATTAGGGCTGGAGGATCATTGTCTGGTGAGTCAGCAAACTCACAAGTTGTGACTGTAAAGGTTTTTCAAGAACTTTTAAATTCTTTTACTTCTGCTTTCTTGGAATCAATTGATAGAATTTTTCAAAAACAACTTGGAGAATAACAATGATTTTCTGGCTGGAAAAGATGATGAAACTAACCAGAATAATGTGACTTTGGAGGATAAAAAAGCGGCTGTCAGGATTGAGATGGAAGTTGGTACAGCGGAAACATAGGTTTTGGCAGAGGCTTCCACGCAACTAATTGAAAAACAACAAGTAGACTCTTTACTGCAAACCGAAAAATTTTATCGTGACAATTCCTAGTCTTACAGACAGAGGAATGAACTGATTGATTATATAAGCAGGAAGAATCAAAATGGGGGTTTCAAACCAGAGGAAATAAGTCCAAGAAGAGAATGAATTTTCAAGATACATCAACCTCAAATCAAAATTCAAAAATTTTCGAAAATAAAAGCAGGGGGACGAACAATGCTGAAGAAGAAAGTATTACTGAAGAAGAAGGACTGGAAAAAATATAGGAAGAATGGAAGATTAATTTCTTTTGAGAAGGATTTTAGTAATTATTGTTTTATTGAAGTAAAAAGGCTTAATTAGAATTGGATAGCTTTTTGAAACTTATTGAAGTATTAAAATGGTTAACTTAAAAGTTAATGGATAGTTTTTTTAAAAAAAAAAAGTTTTGAAACTTATATTTTGAAGAATGTCTTATTGATAAGAAGGTAGGGAAAGGATCCTAGCAACAATTGTGAAATGTGATAAGAGGAAATTAATTACTTTTGAGGAGGGTTTTAGTAATAAATCTGAAAAGTTTATTGTTTCATTGAAGTAAAAAGGCTTAATTAAAATTGGATAGCTTTTTAAAATTTATTAAAGTATTAAAATGGTTAACTTAAAACTTAATGGATAGTTTTTTTTAAAAAAATGCGTTGAAACTTGTATTTTGTAAAATGTCTTATTGATAAGAAGGTATGGAAAGGATCTTAGTAACAAATGTGAAATGTGATAAGAGAATTTATAAAAGGAAGGCTGATGAATAATCTTTAAAAGGGGAGTTAAAGAGTGTGAGGGAGTTTTGAATCTTGTAGTAAATTAATCAAATTCGGTTTTAGTTTGCAAGTATTTGGTGGAAAGGTAAACCATGTCACCAACTTTATAATCTTGTGCCTGACCCCTTTTTTTATTGGCCTGGGCCTTATGAGCTCGATGCGCTTCATCGAGTGCCTTACAAGTTACTGCCCATGTGTCTCATAGCTGTTCGATCCAATCAATCAGAGAGGGGTGTTCTGGAATTGGCACAAAGTCTTGGCCAGAGGCCACCTTGAAAGGGGTGAACCTAGTGTTGCTATGTATGGAGTTATTATAGGCCACCTCTGTGAATGGCAATAACTCTGCCCAGTTATCTTGCTGATAATTGACATAACACCTCAAATACTGTTTCAGTACGGAATTGGTTCTTTCAGAAGCCCCATTTGTCTGAGGATGGTGGGCGGAGCTTAATCCCTAGGCGGAGCCTACTAACGCTAGGAACTCTTTCCAGAAATGGGAGGTAAATTGGACACCCCTATCAGAGATTATACGCTTTGGGACACCGTGTAACCTGTACACATGTTGGAGAAACATTTTCGCAAGTGTTTTAGTGGAAGGAATCTTGGGACATGAGATAAAATGCACTTGTTTGGAAAACAAATCAGCGACCACCCAAATAACTGTGCTCCCCCCACTTTCGGGCAATTCCACAATAAAATCCATGGAGATTTGTCTCCAAGGGGCATCTGGCCTGGCAACGCTCTGAAGCAATCCAGGCGGCTTCCCCAGAGGTCTCTTGGCTGAGGCACACATGGGGCAGCTAGCTACTTATGCCTCTATGTCTTTCTTGAGTGCGGACCACCAGAACTGTCGTTTGACTAAATGTAGAGTTTTGACAAATCCGAAATGCCCAGCAACTTTGGCATCATGA